AGAAGACAGCTATTCTCCCCGCCTTGGATTCTTCTTGAGTGAGTGTGCAAAGCAGTTGTACCATGTTACGGTTGGTGATTCTCCTTTCGTGTATATTGACGAGTGCACCCGCTCTTGATCTATGATACTGCGATCATATGCGTACTCTGTTCTACGACTGCTTGTGCCTCGTCTGTCTGAGCAGCTCGATTTGATCAAGGATCGTTTATTCCGTGTCCCGCTTGGAATGCGCTCCATCTTGGCGACAATCGCTGTGCGCAACCCATCTGCAACAAGTGGCCAGATATCGGGGATAAACTGCGACCGACGACCGTGTAACAAAGGACGCAGTAGGTTTGGTGACGCATTGTAGGATTCACGGGACAGGTTAGCACCGTAGAATTTGGCATGGCAAGGCGAACATGGAAGGACAGTGGGGGCCGCAAGAAGACGGAAGCGGAATGATGTAGGAACATACGCGGGCAGAAGGGAAGGATGATTCTCGGGAGGTGGAGAGCGAACGGGGAAGGGAAGAGAGAAGTCGTAGAGAGGTGCAAGCATTGCAGAAGAGAGAAGCGGGAGGAAGCCCTGGAGGTGAGGGTCAGGAGGAGAGAAACGGGAGCCTGGAGGGAGCCCGGCGTAACGCTGCTGCCCCCCTCTCCCCAGGGGCCGCCCAGAGCGAGCTGCCTCCGACCCCACCTCTTTGGCCCCGGCCCCGCCTCCTGCGCCCCACCCGAACCGAGGCCACCGGGGGACGAGGGCGCGGCACGCGTCGGCTCGCCGGGCGCGGGAGCGCTGGAGCTGGAGGCGGCCGCAGGAGCGTGGAAGCAGCCGGAAGGCGGGGCGCCCGGGGGGGCTGTGGGTGCGCCGGGGGGCGGGAGATTCGGGCCCGGGGCACGGGGCATGCTGCCTTGGCCGCCTCCCGGAGGCCAGGGCACAGATGAAGCAGGGCACGGGGAGCCAAGGGAGCGCCCCCCCCGTTCCTGCAAAGTCACGCTTTCCAGCACCTGTGCATGTTCTGTTTGCTGCCCTGCAGGATTCGGGTTTGTGTCCGGGTTTAGGGGGGGTCGTGCAGGCCTTTCGGGCTTGTGTCCGGGTTTATTCTGGAAATGCGGCAGTGCAGTATTTTGTTCGTGCCGCCGTCTGGACAAATTGGTTGTAAGGGATGTTGGGTGTCTGGGTCTAGCATGTCCGGGTTTCCGGGGCCTTGACCTTGAGGGCTTCCAGAAGAAGTTGCCGACCGCTGAGACAGGAGCTTGTAAGCACAACCCGTGGTAAGTTGATTGATTACCGCACCATGTTTCACATAGGCGCGCAGAAAGCTTCTAACACTCGCAGACGTGCGTAAATCGTGGAGCAGATCTTGGGGCTGTGTGGGACCATGACAAGTCGCGGAAGCCTGACATCACGGTACCCATTCCTTTTCGTCATGATTAGGTGTGGCAAGGTGTGCAATGAGGTGTTCACCATGTTGGCGTGGTGAAGAGGCCGAGGGAAGCCAGGGCCGTCTGGACGCTTGGAACCCTTGACGCTCCAGACCCTGAAGAGGTTACAGCCCCACATCCCTAGAGCTGCCCAAGATACATATACGATCATCGACAGGCGTACTGCCCAAGATAAGTCGACAGGCGTACTGCTGTGCATGTCCCCGCCCATTTGGGCAGCACTTCCATGCAGTTGGGTCTGCCTCGAAGAAAGAACGCCTGCGATGAGACGCAACACTGCATCAGCCCTAAAACGTGTACACCACGAAAAAAGGCCAGCGAAGGAACATTACCTAGTGGAATTTGGCACACCCTGGCACAGTGTCCAGATTGTGGGTCAGTGGCCTTTTGGGTGTAAGTAAGGATCGTTTGGGATGTTTCGTCGCGATGCCACAACAGGCGGGGTCCGCACTCTTGGGATTGTCGACACTGAGGTGCTGGTGGCCAGCTGCACGGAGGCGCAAGTGAGGACACGATCGGGCTTCCTGAGGAATCGGAATCCCTCGAGACGTGTGGCATCAAGGCAGCACAGAATTATAGTGGGGAGGAGGCAGGAGGCAGGAGTGGGAATGAGGAGGAGGAGGCAGGAGGATTGACAGGCCGAACGGGAAGAGCGGGGTGAGACAAGGGGCCGCCTTCCGCGGGTGAGCTGTTTCTGTTCTTGTGGTTGCCTCCGCCCCCCTGGCCCCCTCTCAGAGGAGAGACTGCTCCTCTGCGCTGCGCCCCTTCCCCCCGCCCGTTACTGCTGGCTCCCGTCCTCCCCCTTCAGCCCCCCAACTCCCCAGACCCCCCGACGTCGTGTGAAAGCAGAACGTCGCCGGAGATCTGGTCCGAGGCGGGTATTTATACATGACCACCGCCTGGAGGGTCAGTTTTCGGAGCCTCGGCAGGCGGTGGATATGGACATCTTCTCCTCCTCCTGGGGCTGAAATCTTAGCCATATCTACCGCCCGCTAGGGCACCAGGACGTCGGTTCCCAGGCGGTGAATATGGATCAATCCCCGCCTCGCATCTGGGCAGGGGGGGGAGATATCTGTAAATTCCCAGACCCCCGACGTCGCGTTTGTTTCTCATTACGTCGACCCCCCGAGGTCTGGACCCCTTCGCCGGGACCGGTTTCTCAGCCTGAGTCGTTTTTTTGTTGGCGGTCCCAGGGCCCGGTACGTAGGGGCACCCGCGGAGACCGAAGAAAGAGCCCCCCGTCGTGGTTTTGTTCCCAACGCCCTGACCGTGTGATGGGCATTTCTCGGGAGGGAAAAAAAACACAGACACAATTAATCGTCGATCCCCAGGAAAATATGGGAAAATATGGGAAGTGGGGGGGAAGACGAAAATCCAGAAAATTTTGGAAAATATGGGGAATCCTTTTATTTGTGTGTATTTATTTGTGTGTCCTGGGGCCCCTTCAATTTCTGGGCCCCGCTTCAACAGCAGCCTCGAGGGTCGATGGCGGCAAAGAGGGGGGACCGGAATGGGTACGGAAACGATGGGTACAAAGCCCAACAGCAGATGTTGTTCATTCTTAACAGGATTCGCTGACGGCGTCAGGGCGGATGTTGTTCATTTGAAACAAGGCCGCCTGCCCAACAGCCGCCGCTGTCGGTTGTGGACAACACTTCTTGTTGGGCATCGTACCACTTTCTTCCGTACCCATTCCGGGCGTCCGAAAAAGATGGGTGATGTTTAGGAGGGGGCGATATCATGGCCAGGGCCCTGATACCTTCCCAGACTGACCCCTCCCCTTATTTCAATGCGTTCCCTGGTCCTCCGTTGATCCCAGACCCCCGACGACGTGATTTTTTTCCCCGGCGTCGACCCCCAGAGGTGCGGACCCCTCCCCCCCGGACCGGTTTTTGAAGGCCCCCGGGAGGCCGCACATCTCGGGGGTGGACAGAAACCCCACCAGTGACACGTCGATTAGTGAATTGTCCGCTTTCGGTTCCCGAGAGGGCGCCGTGGCCTTTATTTTCCAGGCTTGCGCCCGCCAGGTCTGGGCCTCAGGTCGTTTTCTCTAAACCACGTTTTACTAAAAGGAGGTCTGTCTCACCACCCACCAAACCACCCCAACCCAACCCGAAGGCCCAAATTTATCCTCGATTTCCAGTGGGGGGGGGGTCGGGGAACACTGAAAAAACTCATGGTATCCGTACCCCCCCCAACCCGAAATTCGGGTCAAATTCGGGTCTTCGGGTTGGGTTGGGGTGGTCTGGTAGGTAGTCACTGTCCATCCCCGAACATAGCAAACCGCTTCCAGTCGTGATATTTTCTTGTTTCACGATGCGAGGGGGTCTGGGGGTCCGCGCGCGTGCCTCGGGCCACGATCTCTGCGAACCCCCTCTTGGACGCCCCCGTCCCCCTCCTCCTCCTCCTCCTCCTCCTCCTCCTCCTCCTCCTCCTCCTCCTCCTCCTCACCTCCTCCTCCTCCTCCTCCTCCTTCCTCCTCCCCCTCACCTCCTCCTCCTCCTCCTCCTCCTCCTCCTCCCCCTCCTCCTCCTCCTCATCCTCCCTCCTCCTCCCCCTCCTCCTCATCCTCCCCTCTTCCTCCCTCCTCCTCCTCATCCTCCCTCCCTCTTTCCTTCCTTCTCTTGTCCCTCCCCTCCTCCTCTCCTCTTTCCTCCTCCTCCTCCCTCCTCCTCACCTCCTCCTCTTCTTACTCTTCCTCCTCCTCCTCCTCTCCTCCTCCTTTCCTCCTCCTCCACAATTACTCAATATGAATACTACTCTCCCTCTTCCCCTGATGACGTCTTTTGCGTATTCGCCCCCCCCCCCCCGCGTACTGTTTTTTACACACAGGATTCCCGGGAGTTGGGTTTTCGCCTGCGTTTTTTTCAAAATGCTGCTCTCGCTGAGGCGCCGGCCTCATTTCTGCTCCCGAATCGTTCCGAATCGTGCTCCCGCTGCAGCGTGGGCCTCATTTTCGGATCGGTGTTTGCCTCCGTCGTTCAGGATGGCGTTCTCGCCCCAGCGCGGGCCTCTTTCTCGCGCGCCCATCCGCCCGCCACCACCGCGCCGCACCACGCCCCGCCCCGCCGCACGCACACCCACCGCCACTTCCACCCACCAACGCACGCACGCACGCACGCGCACCACCACCGCGCACCGCCACCACCACCGCACTACCCCACCCACCACCACCACGCTACACCGCGTCACACCACATCACACGCGCGCACGCACAGACACACGCACGCACGCACGCACGCACGCACGCACGCACGCACGCACGCACGCACGCACGCACGCACGCACGCACGCACGCACGCACGCACGCACGAACGCACACACACGCACACACACGCACGCACGCACGCACACACGCACGCACGCACGCACGCACGCACACGCACACACACACACACACACACACACACACACACACACACACACGCACCACCACACACACACACACACACACACACACACACACCACACACCACCACCGCCACCACCACCACCGCCATCACGCACGTACGCACCTGGCCCACCACCAAACCACCACGACGCCACACCACAGCACACCACAGCACACGCGTACACACGCACACACACACACACACACACACACACACACACACACACGCACACACACACACCACCACCGCCACCACCACCACCACCGCCATCACGCACGTACGCACCTGGCCCACCACCAAACCACCAAGACGCCACACCACGTCACACCACAGCACACGCGCACACACGCACACACACATACACACCACCACCACGACAACCACAACCACGCACACACGCACGCACGCACGCGCACCACCACCCACTACGCACACGCGCGCGGAGCCACAGGTCCGCTACGACACGCGTCCGCGGATAGAGAAAATCAGCGCCATGGTAAGGGATGGGAGGGAGGGGTAGGATGTCAGATGTTGACGCGAGCGCACCTAACTTGTCCTCCTCCCCCCCCTCCTCCTCCTCCTCCTCCTCCTCCTCCTCTGCCTCCTCCCCTCCTCCCCCTCCTCCTCCCCCTCTGGAAGCCCCCGAGCGGGCCGGGGTGGGGGGGCGAGCGCGCCCCCCGCCGCGACTGCGGCCTGCCTCTCGCGCGGCAACCCCGCCGCGCGCCTCGCTATGCATGCGCCCCGGGGGGCCCCCGGCGAGCGGCGTCTGGCGGCGCACCTCGGGCGCCGCGTCGCCAAACTTACGTCGGGCCTGTCCCCCTAGAGGGGGATTTTCGACGAAAAATAAAAACTAGCCCAAGAATAGTCAAAAAATAGTCAGGGGACTATTTTTTGAATATTTTTCGACCTTTTTTGGATACTTTTGGGGTATTTTTCATTTTTCGTCGAAAATCCCCTTGTAGGGGGGACACGCCCAACTTAACGCCAGACCCCCTCGCGCTGGGAACGACGCCACGGCGTTCGGATGCAACTCCTGGGAGGTCAGATTCTGATTCTGCCCTGGTCCGAAATCCTGCTCAATCGGGCCTGCTCCTGCTTCATCCCGCTCTTCCCGCTCAATTCCGCTTCATCCGATTTCATCCCGCTTGATCCGAGGCCCACTCTGGCGTAACAGCCCCCCAATGGGGCGCAATCCTCCTTAATCCTTCCGACGAAGACCTCCCAGTAATTGCCTCCAGGGGGAGGTCTTTCGTTGTTTTCGGCCTCCAGGGGCCCCCACCGGGCCTCGGGAGCGTCAAGAAACGACTCAGTCGTTTTTTTACGGCCCTGGGGCCTGGCAGGGGCCCCGGGAGGCCGAGAAGAGCAGCAAGTCCCCCTCGCCGTGATTGGTTGCACGACGCGAGGGGATCTGGGAAGGGTGGAGGCCGAGAACGGTATATAAACAGCATCTTTTGGCGCTCCGCGCGGATGTCTTGGATCTGCGCTGGGCCCCTTCCGGCGGCGGCTGCGGCGCCGCGCGCTCCGCGCGCCAGGGAGGGCCAGGAAGCCACTTTTTAGTCAGCAGCCGCAGGCGAGAGCGCAAGCGGCGAGTCGAGTCAGAGCGGGCCGCGCAAAGACGGATTACCGAAGGCCGGCGGGGCCTCGGGCATCACCACGGCGGACAGGGCCCGCGGGTGGGGGCATGCCGGCTGCGGCTGCCGAGAAAGAAACCCACGCGCAGCGCCAGAAGTTTTTGTGCCTGGCGTGTTTTTTTTGTTTTCTGGGCTGCTCTGCCGGAGGCCGAGAGCGGCCCCGAGGCTTCACGACCCGAGGGGGCTCCTGGCACGGCGGGCGCCCCGCTGCGTGGATCGCCGCGGTGGTTGCTGCGGGGATCGGGTGGGGGTTAGAAGTGGATGCCAGAGCGGGATTTGTCAGGCCTGACCCAGGGGAGCAGAAAGTGGCATAAACATAAAAACTCGGAGGTCCGCGCGGATTTCTCGGATCGGCGCTGGACCCCCCTCCCTGGCGCGCGGAGCGCGCCAGGGGCGGCGCCGGATGCGCCGCCGGGGGGCCCCAGCGCCGATCTGAGAAATCCGCGCTGACCTGCGAGTCTCTATGCTTATGTAATTTTTTGTTCCCCTACTAACCCACCTCGCACGTGGGCTACAGGTGCCCTATGTGGCTCTGGATGCTGAGGTGACTCCGCCAAGCGTGCTCCGCCCCCTCACTCAAGGTCTGTGCGCCCTACAATGCCACGTCGGGCACGTGCAGCCCCCTTCTAAGCGGGACTCGGCTGGCTAGAGCCCACCCTAGAATTATGTCGGGTGTGTCCCCCTACAGGGGGATTTTCGACGACAAAACAAAAATACCCAAAAAGTACCCCAAAAAGGCAAACAAAAGAATACCCCCAAAAAAGTCCCCATACCATTTTTGGATGATTTTTGGTGTATTTAAAATTTTTCGTCGGAAATCCCCCCGTAGGGGGACAGGCCCGACTGAACCCTAGCATCCACTTCTCGAACCCCCCCCTCCCCCGGTCCCCTCGGCAACCCCCGCGGCTACCCCGGGTGTGCTTCACGGCCCGAGGGGCCCGGGGCACGGCGGGCGCGGCCCCCGCCCCCACCCGCGGCCCGCGGCCCGCAGGCGGCGTGCCGGGGCCCGGGCGGGATCTGCAGCAGGACATCGTCGCGTCGTGCGAGCGCGAGGCTGGCCGCGCCGCCTCCGCGGAGGGCCGCCCCCGGGCCAGCGATGGGCCGGTTAACCACCACCACCTCCACAAGTTGGAGGAGGAGGAGGAGGAGGAGGACGAGGAGGAGGAGGACGAAGAGGAGGAGGAGGAGGAGGAGGAAGAAGAGGACGAGGAGGACGAGGAGGAGGAGGAGGAGGAGGAGGAGGAGGAGGAGGAGGAGGAGAAGGAAGACCCCCTCCCCCTCCAACGTATGGTAATAGTGGTGGTGGAAAACAAGCCCAGCAGCCAGGGTTAAGTTGGGCGTGTCCCTCTGACAGGAGGAGTTCGTCTGGGAACGATTTTCGACAATATTTGGCTATTTTTGTGTATTGCTAGATGATTTGAGTATGACGATTTTTTCTGCTATTCCTGATGCATTTTTAGTATATATCCATTTCTCTTCCAGGAGCCGCCTGTGAGAGGACATGGCCGACCTCAGGCCAGGGGGCGTACTGCGCCTGCATCGGGTTCTCGGGCCGAGCCGGTGTCGATGGCTTCCGGTGCCGACTCAGAGGAGGAAAGTCGTCGTTTTCTTATTCCCCACATCCTAAGTTGGGTTCTTGTTTTCTCAGCACACCCCGCGCAGTCCTCCCGCGCCCTCTCCTCTTCACACCCAGTCCTCCGATCATCATCATCAGCAGCATCATCATCATCAATACCATTATCAGCATCATCACCATCATCACCATCAATCATCATCTGACTCATCATCTCTACCACCTATCCCATCATCAAGCATCATCGCCGTCCACTCACTCACTTTCACTCGATCACCCTCATTCACTCAGAACGTACTCCCTCACTCTGCGAGATAGACCGTGATGACGGTCTCTCTTGATGACGGTCTCTCTGGCTTTTTTAACTTACGCACCCACACACTCACAGCACCATCGCACCCTCACTCGATCATTCTTATTCACGCATAACTAAATCACATTCGCACTCGCTCACTCACTTCTTCCGAGTGGCTCTCTCACGCACTCAATCATTCACACACCATCATTACCACCGGTCTCATCATCATCATCATCATCATCATCATCATCATCATCATCACCCACCTCATCATCATCATCATCATCATCATCATCATCATCATCATCACTTGACTGTGTGTCGTCTCGGGCGGGAGCCTCGTCTGTGAGTGAATTGCGAGGAAGTCTAATGCGGGAGCCTCCGCCCTCTGGGGCCCGCAGCTCACGTTTGTGATCCGAGCGGGTCACCGGAAATCTTGTGACTGTATTCACTTTTGGGCCCCTGAGGCCTGAATATGGAGGAAGTATCAGGCGGGAGGTTCGTCTGTTAGTGAGTTGCGAGAGAGTATCAGACGGTAGCCTCCGCCTTATGGAGCCCGCAGCTCATGTTTGTAAACCGAGCGGGTTACCCGTTCCTTGTAACTGTTGTCGCTCTTGGGCCCCTGACGGTTGTGGGGGAAGTATCAGGCGGGAGCCTCGTCTGTGAGTGAATTGCAAGGAAGTCTTAGGCGGGAGCCTGTGCCTTGTGGGGCCCGCAGTGGATGTTCGAATCCGAAGCGGGTCATCCTCAAACTTGTACTTGTCGTCATTTTTGGGTTCCCGAGGCCTGAATCTATATGCAGTATCAGGCAGGAGCCTCGTTTGTGAGTGAATCCCGAGAAAGTCTCAGGCAGGAGCCCATTTCCTAAGGGGCCCGCAGCTCATGTGTGTAATCCGAGCGGATCGTCGGAAATCTTGTAATTGTCTTTTCTTTTGGGCACCTGAGGCGTGAATTTGGAGGGAGTATAAGGCGTGAGTCTCGCTTGCCAGTGAACTCCGAGAAAGTATCAGACGGGAGCCTCCGCCTTATGGAGCCCGCAGCTCATGTTTGTAAACCGAGCGGGTCACCAGAACCTTGTAACCGTCGTCATTGTTGGCCTCCTGGGGCTTGAATTGGAGGAAGATTCAGGCGGGAGCCTCGTTTGCGTGTGAATTGGGAGGACGTCTCGGGCGGGAGCCCTTTCCCAATGGGGCCCGCACTTCACGTTCGAATCCGAGACGGGTCATCGGACTCTTGTAATTGTCGTCACTTTTGGGTTCCTGACGCCTGAATATGGGAGAAGTATCAGGCGGGAGCCTCGTCTGTGAGTGAATTGCGAGGAAGTCTCAGGCGGGAGCTTCCGCCCTATGGGGCCCGCAGTGGATGTTCGAATCCGAAGCGGGTCATCCTCAAGCCTGTATTTGTCGTCATTTTTGGGCTCCGGATGCCTGAATGTACAGGAAGAAATGGGCGGGAGCCTCCTCAATGAGTGAGTGGTGAGGTATCTGCGCGTGCCTCTGGCCGCGCTGGGTTGCGAGCGTCGCATTAATCGAAGCGAGAGGCTTTGGCCTCGTCAGGTATGCGAGCCTCTGGCCGCGTACGAGTCCTGTACGATCCAGCCAGCGTCGGCGAGATCCTCTGGCCTCGTCAGCTGTGCGAGCCTCTGGCCGCACAGTTGGTCATCACTTTGTCGAAGGCGAGAGCCGTTGGCCTCGTCAACTGCGTGAGCCTCTGGCAACGCAGGCTCCCCACATCACGAGGACGACGATGAGGGTTATTTTCAGATTTGCCTAGAGGATTCTCATGTGGGGTCCTGCCGTATAGGAGTAATTTATTGTTTTGCCGATCGGCGCCTGCCCTCGTCCCCTCCCTCCCCCCCCAATGGTGTAGATCTTGGCTGTTTTGGGCGCTGGCTTCGAGCAGGTGGGCTCCCCCCTACAGGACGCACGGTTCCAAACAGCCGCACCAAGCAGAGGTCCAGAGCCAGACCCCCTCCCCTCCTCTCCGCCCCCCTTTCGGCCCAATGTCGTAACGCCGATAAGAAAACATTCGCAAACCCACACCCCCTCGGGTTGCGCCGCCTCAGCCCGCGCGTGCGAAGGCTAAGGCGAAGCCTGCGGCCGCGGGGCGAGGACGCGGAGCCGCCGCCGCTGCCGCCGTTGCCGCGGGCCCCCCACCTCCCGCGGCTAGAGGGCGCGGCGGCCGACGTGGAGGCCGTGGTTGTGGAGCTGGTGCCGCGGCCGCCGCCCCCCCTTGTGCCGCTGCTGCGGTCGCAGCCGCTCCAGGTGCTGGAGGGTCGGGCGCCATCGTCGCGGGAGCTGCTGGTGGAGTACCGGCCTCGGCTGGCGCCGGAGGGGCTGCGGGAGTCCCTGGGGGCGCGGGGCTGCCCGCCATCGGGGGCGCTGGGGGGCCAGCAGGCGGCGCACCCGGCTCAGCCGGAGTTGCAGGAGGCGGAGCTGCTGGAGCAGCGGCTGCCGGGCCCCCCAGGTGCCCCCGCCGCCGCGGCAGGTACCTGTGGCGGGCTTGTCCCCCAAGCGTGGGGCGGCGGGGCCGCTGCCGCCGTCGGCGGCCCGCCTGGCGGGCCTGGCGCAGCAGGACCTGGAGTGCCTGGGCTGGGTGCACGCGCGTTGGGCGTCGGAGGCTTCGGCGGAGCTGGCGCGTGGCCTCAGGCCGCGGGCATGGTGTCGGGGGCGGCGGGTTCCTTGGCTGGGTGCTGGCAGCTGGGGCGGCTGCAGGCTTGGCTGGAGGGGCCTGCGATCTGGCGGCGCCGCCTGGAGGGGCGGGGCCCTGGGTGCACGGCCCCTCGGCCCCCATAGCCTACCAGTGCTTGGGCCTGGCTCCCGGATGCCTGTTGGAGGGAGTCACGTTCGACAACTTCGGGAGCGCCGCGGGCGCGGCGATCTTCCAGGTGCAGAACGTATGGCCAGGAGACGGCATGGGGTGTTTCGTGGAGGCCACCTTCGTCGGGTGCAGCAGCGCGCCGCTCTGGCCGATGCTGGCCGGGAGCTTCGCCAGCTTAGGGGGGCCGTGCTGCACCTTTGCACGCAGCAGGCTGGAGTGTGTGCTGGGTTGGTGCAGTGGCCGCAGCGCTCGGTGGTGCACGTCGACACCTACCGCATGCGGTCGCCGAGCGGGGTCACGGAACCCTGGGCGCAGACGCAGGCGCCAGGCCGTGGCATGGCTGGTGCGGCCGCTGGGGCGCGTCCGCCTGCCCCCGCCCCCGGGGTGCCAGCAGGGCCGCCATCGTCCCAGGAACTGCAGAAGAAGGTGAGGGAGCTGAGACGTCGGCTGCAGCAGAAGAGGGGCGTTGGCGAGGCGCTTGCGGACCGTGCGGAAGCAGCTTTGTCAGGGTCGAAGCGCCGCAGCCATCGTCGCAAGAAGCGCAGCAGGAGTTCAGACAACAGCTCGGGTGTTTCAGTTTTCGATGGCGCCCCACACGTCGATTCAGGCCGCAGGATAGCGCATCTCGCTCGGGAGACACCAGGTGTTCTCCTCTCGAGCGGGATGGAGCAGATCAAACGATATCTTGCGCGGCGCGGGGGGGCTGACCCAGATCCGAGCATGGGCGAGTTGGCAGCGACCTTGGCGCAGTACAACACCAGCGTGCGGCACGGGCACCACCCGCAGAGCGAGATGGGGGTGAGGAGCGTACGCGAGATGAGGACGGTGGGCGAGTGCTTAGACGCCCCACATCGAGGAGAGCTGGACCATCTCGGAGACCTCCTGATGCAGAGGCTGAAGGCGATCGAGCAGGCCACCAAGGACGGTCACTGGCTGGTGGCACAGCATTTGGAGCTCTGCGACGACCTGGGAGTCGGCATAGCATGTCAGCAGGAGGTGCACGCGGTGAGCAAGCACAAGCGGATGCACGGCCTGGCCGAGAGCGTAGCCAAGGCCAAGAAAGGAGGAGGCAGCGCCGGGCAGGGGTCAGGCCGAGAAGGGGGCGCACAGCCCAGGGCGCCACTTTTTCAGAGGCCACCCCCTGCACCTGACAACTCACAGTGGACGACCGGCAACTCCAAGACGATCTCCTTGATGAATTGCGAGAAAGCCTCGAGGAAGGCTCGGTGGAGAGAGCGGAAGAGAGCTGCCCAGACGGCCTCCGCCGCGGCTCCTCGAAGCCCATCACCAGCGGCGCACTCCAGCAGCCCCGCCGCAGCGCCGCCGCCCGCAGCCCCCGCGCTTGGGTCGCCAGCAGGCGTG